GATGGGGCAGCGGGGTGCCCCTGGCTGCCCGGGCGGGGGGCTCGGGGGTGCTGCGAGCTGCCTCTCCCCGGCGTTTTGCACCGAGGGATGGTGGCTCCCGGGGCACCGGGCTCCCCCTCCCCGAGGGCGCTGCCGGAGCCTTGCGGTCGTCCTTGGGTTTTAACGCCAGAGATGCGAAGGGGGCAGAGGGTTGCAAACCCCTCTCCTTTTCCACATCCTAAAACTTTGTTTTGGTTGGCACTGGTGGTCCTGCAGCACGGAGAAGTCTGTGCAGAAAGCCCAGCTCCTGCACAGCCATAAAGCTGCGGTGCTGGGGTCCCAAGCCTCCCCTTCCCACCGCCTGTAGATATCCGTGTCAGTCGCTCACTCAACATCATATTGGAAAATGGGGCGAAATGGTTATAAGCAAGCACTGCGATAGTGCATTTGTTTTGCAGCAGTAGCCTGCCCCCCTCCTCCCCCCAAGTTGGCAAGTGGGTGCCTAATGTCCATTTGAGCTACAGCCAGCTGTGCCAGCACAGGTCGGGGAGGATCTGAGTTTGCCGCGGAGATGCCACTGTAAATAGCTGCCGCACGCACAAAACTTCTGTTCGACGGTAGCGTCATGTGGAGTGGCTGGCTGCAAGCCCACGTCCAGGCTGTTTGCTCTGCTCCTCAAAATGATATTAGTTAGAAAAGGAAGAATTTTAAAAATACCATTTGACTTTTGTACTGAAGCCTTTGTTACTATTTATATTGTTACGGCTTTGAAGCCATAATTGTGCCTGCAGCCCTGATGGCAACGTGACCTGTAAAAACCCACCTTGCATCCTGCTAGGCACAGTCCGCTGTGTAATCTTGTAGTCCAGACCGGACACTTTCAAGTGTGGCCACACGTGAAATTAATGTGTGACCAGAACATCAAAGTGTCTTTCTGTTTTCCTGTTGTATTTTGTATTTATCTAAGGCAGTGGTGCTTAGGGACATGGTTTAGTGGTGGACTTGGCAGTGGTAGGTTAATGGTTGGACTTGATGATCTTAAAGGTCTTTTCCAACCTAAACAATTCTATGATTCTATGAACAACAACTACTCCAAAAAATTGTTTTGCAACTTTGATGGCAAATCCTAGCTGCTGCAAAGTCCCATTTTGGTTTCAGACTTGGCACGGCCATCACTCTCACTCTGTCTCATCTCAAGCCTTTAAATTAACTGCATGCTGAAAAAATAGTGGATGTTGGAGATGGTGTTGATTTCTAAGTTGCTGATAGCCTTTGAATTTAAGTGAAAACCTGGACTCAGGGCTCAGTATTAAGCTTTTAATAACACTTGTAGGTTTTTTTCCTGTGGGGAAGAAAGGTGTGCAGTTTGAAAGAAAAATTTGGCTGTGACAGCTGGGCATTTTGCTGGGTGTTGAAATCACAGGAAAACAGACCGCTTCAGAAAAACATGTGCATTAAAAATAGATGTTTAGATCATTAACTATCAAAGTATGGCTGACAGTGTAGTTCTACCATTTTGATTTTTTTTCCATGTAGCATGCTGTTTTAGAAGAACAGACATTTTCTTTATGTTGATGAGCAAGCTTCTGTGTTTGAGTTATGATCTTGGCTTGGATGCAGCATTTTTGCATTTTCAGGGTTATAAATAATATTGACTGAATTGTTTGGACGTGGTCTCAGCTGGAGAAGCAGTATAAGACCTGCCCTTCATAAGTGGTAGCCTCCTTCTAGACAGGTCCATCAGCAGTTCAGCAGAAGGTGTGATCTTCTGGATCCTCCCTGTCTCTCTCTTGCACATGTGCGTGCACGTGCACGCACTCTTAATGTGTTCTTCCAAGATGTTCCACAGCTAGAGGGAAGCTAATTGCATGATTTTGATACCAAGTACGAACACCCTTTTCTGTCCACTTCTACAGGATGAAGGAATGTAATTAATTTGCAGATCTCACTATTCTCTGTGTACAGAAAGAGATGGTCAGGCACACTCGAACAAAGAAGTCAGGAGTCACCATACCGCTCTCTCCCATGCTCCAAAAACCTACCTTCCCTCCATAGTGCCCTTGGTGGTTGGAAATTTTGCAGAAGTCTGGAATATAACACTAGGGCTTGCATTTTGCTTAGCAAGCGAAAGCTCAGGGAAATCCAGGTTGCATCCCAACTGAGCTGGGGGTGAAAGGGTGGATGAGTGCTGCTTCCCTTGTCTGTGCATCCAGGTTTCTTTTCCATAGGCTTCAGGATATATGAAATGTTCACCTGGGACATGCCCTGGCAAAATGAGCTTTTCTCAGTATGGATATAGCACCTGGATCTTACTTAGTCCACTAAAATATATTATTAGTGAGGAAGCAGAAAGGGTGTCGGAGGTAAACCTTTAGATTTCAGTGAGAATCTGGGCATAGGGTTCAAAGGTAAGGACGACCAAATACCTGTGAGCTTCAGCATTGGGGAAGACAATGATTTAGGAGACATTTTGAACAAAAAGCCTAGTCTAGATAGTTGGTCATTAACTGACTGTTAATATGAGATCTTACAAAAACATCTTTCCGTTTGTCTTGAGTTTGACCCAAAACCAGAAGATTTTGGAGATGACTTTATTCTCTTTTGAAGTTCTGGCTTCCATTTTTCTCTAGCAGAGCAAGTCCTGCTCAAGTCTCTCAGATCACTTCACGAGCACTTTACAACAGCCATTTGCAGGAGATAATGTAATTCTTGTTCTTATCTGAGGTTCTAGAGAACTGAGAGAGAGTTCAAATGACCTATCCAAAATACACAGTAAATTAGCATAAGAAATGAGACAGGGAAACAAATTATTTGCTCCAGTTGCAGGATTAAATTGCCTTTCCCTAACTCACTGCAACTGTTAAGAAATTCATGGGCCATTCCTCTTGCAATAACTTGAAAAGGGCAGACATGCCTTTTATGCTTCTTTCTGATGTAAGTGGTATTAAATATGCATTGTAGCTCAGTTACCTTAGATAACTGAGAATAAATTCATCCATCTTCCACTTGAAATTCTGTTCCCAAATGTAGCAGCTGAATATTCTTTCTTTTGTTTTCTACTTTTTGGAGGGGTTGGAGGTTTTTTGCTTTTGTTTTTAGAGAAGAATCTTGTTAGCATTCCTTAGAAACTCATTAAAATGCTTCCCTTTTGGCTTATTCTCCTAATTTATTAATACCACAAATAACTTTTCTTTGGTGACCCACTTTCATAGGTATCTGAACATCTAGCAAAATTGTAACTCATCAGAAAGGCAGTGTAGACTAATAAATAATATCTCCAGACAGAGAGGAAAATCAAGACACTTCTTTCTTTGCGACACAGAGTTTTACACACAAAACATACAGAAAATATTGCTCTATTCCACAGCTTACTTGGCACCCTTAGCCCAAAAGAAAGCACTTTATTGATTGCATGATTGATTTAAAGGTCAGAATTTAGGATTGCATCTATTCTCCTGGCTGAATTCAATTTTTACCCTACATCCACAGTGAAGAAACTGCTCTTTGCATAAATATAAATTGAAATATTGGTCTGCGTGAGTGTTCAAACAAATAGACTTTCTCTTATAGCTCCCAGGGCAACCTCCCAACACTACACTGTTATCAAAACCATTAGGGTTTGACTAAAATACTGCTTTTTATTGAATTATTGTACCTGCTTTGTGAAAAGTACAGATCTGCTTAGAAAAAGAGGATACCCACTGATTTAATGAGCATGATGGTCAACAGGCCACTGGAAGCAGTAGGGCTGTAGAGACTCTAAGTCAGGCAAACGTCAGCTAGTGTAGAAGAATACACTTATTTTCATACTCACTTACTTCAAAAGATACAGAGGTTGCTTTTTGTGAACTGAAGCTATACAGACAGACTTATCGCAAGGGGTGATTAATTACCCTGTGTCCTGCAGACATGCAAACACTGGTCATGTTTTAAGGGCAGTCTGCGCCGAGAGTGCAGTCTGTGGTTGTCCCAGACCAAGGATACTCAGCATTGCTGCCTTTTCTCCAAAGTCTGCTGGATAGCAACCCCCTAACAGGAGAGTATAAGGCTTATTTTGTGACTTCTGATGAAGCTTTGTTTTCCTTTTCAGTAAGTGTGGACGTCTGTGTAAGTGTGAGAGCATCATGGTGGCATTTAAAGGAGTCTGGACTCAGCCCTTCTGGAAGGCCGTTTCGGCAGAATTTTTGGCCATGCTCATTTTTGTCCTCCTCAGCCTCGGCTCCACAATCAACTGGGGTGGAGCAGAGAAGCCCCTGCCTGTAGACATGGTCCTTATCTCTCTCTGCTTTGGACTCAGCATTGCAACCATGGTGCAGTGCTTTGGACACATCAGTGGAGGCCACATTAACCCTGCTGTGACCGTGGCAATGGTCTGCACGAGGAAGATCAGCCTCGCCAAGTCCGTCTTCTACATTCTTGCCCAGTGCCTGGGAGCCATCGTGGGCGCAGGCATCCTTTACCTAGTCACACCGCCAAGCGTGGTGGGAGGCCTGGGAGTCACTGCGGTAATCGCTTCTCCTCCAGCTCTTGAACTAGACTAGCTTAGAGCCTAAGAAAATACAATCAGTGTCACTCAGAATAAAGAGACCTCAAGTAGAGATTTTAAGAGCTTGCTGCTTTATTTACAACATCTAGACAGGGCTTAAAGCTCTCTTTTGGATGGGTTTATGCAGCGTAATATCTATAGCTGTTCTTTTTATACAAGTTTTCTTTCCTAGAACTTCCCCAAATCTGATGACAGCAGGTAATGTTAATTTACATACAAAATTTAAATAATATATGCGTGAAATGCCATTTTTATATGGGTTGGGGAGGGGGAAATTAATTCTATGCCATTATGATGGGGATTGAAAAAACATCAATTTAAAATGACATACTTTTGAAATAGATTGTGGCTTAGATTTCAGCTTTGTTCTAAACTAATAAGGAATGCCATCAGTTAGCCCTGTTGCAGGACTTATTAAAAATGCACTTGAGCCACACACTGCTTAATTTTTAATTGAAATTTAAATTAATTAAGTCAGGGCTAATTAATGAATTTATAATTGAATAGTAAATTACAGTGCTCCCAAGAAAAAAATGGTGAAGGGGAAGTGCAGCATTTGCAAATCCCTGTGTAAAAATAAATCATACTTCTGCAGTCTAACTTTGAAGTTCTTGTTGGATGTTACTGTTAAGCCTTCTGTTCTCAGTCCAGCAGTAATTTTCCATGGCTTTCAAAATAAAAAAAAAAAAAAAAAGGGGGGGGGGGGGGAAAAGGGGGGGGGAAACCTTTCC